TGAGTGTGCCTGAATTCTAGTGGAAACAATACTGCCCACAATTCCAAACAGTACCTATTCTTATACCTTTCTAGGGTGTGTCGTTTTTAAACTTAGTACTTTCGAGAGATATTACGCTGCAAAGTATTACACATTGGCGTGGTTCATTAAAGGGACCTTAATTAAGACTCCCCCGAATCCCAGGAAGGCTGAGTGGTGAGGCACGCCCTCCCTAGCTTTCCGGGTTACGCCACTGAGTTTGAAGTGACGTATCGTTTCTCATCATGCGGACGGGACCATGATTTTGACGACGATGGGAACGTACAGCAATAATATTTTTACTGAAATAAATCTGCCATAGGATATTTGAAAATCACGGGGGGGGGGAATTTAGATTTGAGGCTTTGCATGGTGGGGTATCGGTATCGTTTCGGTTTGCGGTAACACCATGTGGTAATAACTACTGCTTAGAAGATATTAGTTCTGAAAAGAACTTGTCCTGCTTATTATCAACTTTGCTAAGTAGTTTTTGTTCTGATAAGAACAGTCCTGCGGGGGGGGGGGGGGGGGTTGTGACAGCTATAACCAGGGGCAAAGAGGACAGGACGTCCGTACTACGCCGTCTGGCATTAGGAGCTGGTCGCCTGTTTAATGCGCAGACCATTTTCTTTTTACTAAATCGGGTACTCTGACCTCACCGCTACACTTGGCAACGACCCTGCCCCTAACATACCTGCCCGTAAGCTGACGTGGGTTCAACCTTCACTCTATCTAGCCTCTCTCACCAAGGCTTTGCCACCCCACATCCCCCCCCCCCATCTCACCCATCTACCATCAATCTGCAGGACGCAACCACCTAATTAATGTTTTACAATCTTCAGACCCAAACGGCCTAAACACCCTGCCCCTTCACGGCGGATACAGAACCAAATTGTCCATGTGCTTCCAGTTATGTTAGGCGGTGAGTGGAGGCGAAGGAGAGCAGGTAAAAAGGGCCTGACACCCGGCAAGCTGGCCGTTACAGAATCGAAATACGTGAAGACGCCTTTTATTTTCCCTTCATTATTTTTCCTGACTACATCATAATAGCATTTTGGGTGGCGTGGGTGGCTTGTGCCTAAAGTGCTCGCCTCTCACCAAGGTGACCACGGTTCGAATCCTGGCCGCGGATCACGTGTGAGTAGAGTTGTGCGGTGGTTCTCTCCTGTGCCATGAGGGTTTTTCTCCGTGCCCTCCGGTTTTCCTCCCTCCAGCAAAATCAAACACTTTCGATTTCAGGCTGTGCTCCGTGGTCATATATGGGTCGATGTGGCCGGCAACCAAAGGCGCCTTTTTCGTGCCAGTGGCCCGACCACGTTGTAGCTGCGTCCTTCGCAATTCAGCATCCCAGCTGCGAGGAAGGATGATTAGCCTCCCAAATGATTAATTATTATATTTCAAGAATCCGTGGGGGGAATAAAACGAGTGGACTACACCATCGTCTTAGTAATATTTACTGCGCTTGTTCAATTATTGAAAGATAAATAACTATTGGTATCAGTTTTGTTGCCCCCTCCCATTCTCAAAGCTAACCCCCTCGACACACATCTGTAAATTCATTTGCAAATATTAAAAATGTCTTTTCAATTCTTTCTTTCCGAAGATTTCGATTTCATTCTTCCAGAGTGTATTACAAGGGGCATGAAGGTCCCACATTATCAAAAACTAGAGTTTTCAAACCTTGTTTATTTAGAATTTATATTCTATATCTTATCACATGATATTACTAAATTAGTTAACACATTCATGTTATAATAAAACCAATGATGGGACGGAGTTTTAAAGTAACACCACAGGTATTTGGTTACTTAATATCCGGAATGGGAGTGAGTTTGACTTCAGACGGGCATTTTTTTTTCTCTTCCGATTATTCTTTCGGTGGTGACCACTATTTGTGTAGCGCTCCCTCTTTTGAAAGAATTTAAGTGGCTTCAATTCGGCTTGTATTTTTCACCCTAGAAAAACACTACATAGTTGTGTGTCTTTATTATTTTTTATTCGTTGCGAATTTCTATCAACATTCAACAGATTTGCGCTATATATTAGGACCAATCAATGGAAGAAATTTTAATTCCGTATCACAGAGAAGTCTTGCGTTATCGTCCCGAAAAGAAGTGAATTGGTTTTGGTCCATGAAACGTCTATTTGGTTTGTAATTTCTACGCTAAACACACCACATTTTTGGTGAAAATAGTTTTATTGTTTCTCTTGAAATTCAACATATTTGTGTTACATTTACGACACTATTGATTGGACGAAATTGTAACTCAATAGAGCATGCCTTTCTTGATTTATCGTCCGGATAACCAGTGAGTACTAATGATTGGACGAATTTGTAACTAATTAGAGTATATTTTTAGAGTTTTCGAACGGGAAACGAGTGTAAACCTTTGTTCAATTGGCGTTGACTTAAATTGCTATAGGGCATTTTTTTTTTGCATTAAACATGCCACATTATTTTGGTCATAATATCTTAAGTTTTTGAAGATTTCTCTAAATATTCAATGAAACTTAACTCATTTTTGGATTGTATTATTTTTGCTTGTTCCACATTATTTCGGTTAAATCATTTTATTGTTTGACATTTTCACTTGACAAACAAACTATTTGTGTTACATTTTGTGACTAATGATAAGACCAAATTTATCGAGTTATCGTCCGGCAGACGAGTGTGGACTTCTGTTCAATTTACGTTGACATTAATTGCTATCAGGTATTTTTTGTTCGCACTAAACATACAACGTTTTTTTGGTCATGTTGTTTTAAGTTTTTGCAGATTTCTCTAAATATTCCGTAGATTTGTGTTATATGTTACAACAAATAAGTGGACGAAATTAATAGTCAATACAGCCGGTGGTTCTTGAGGTTCCGTATGGAAAACTAATGTCTTACCAAATTGTTCCATTTGCGTTTAATGTAAAAACTATTAAAATCGCATTTTTTTCGCGTTAAACAAACCGCCTTATTTTGGTGATATTATTTTAAGTTTTTTTTGCAGATTTCTCTAAATATTCAACAGATTGTGTTATGTATCAGGACCAATGATTCGACGATATTTTAATTAAGTCAAAACAGCAGGTAGTTCTTGAGTTATCGAACGGAAAACTAAATGTTAACACATTGTTCCATATGCGTTTAATTAAAAAAACTATTGGAATCGTATTTTTTTGCGCTGAACAACCATATTGTCATAGGTATATTATTTTTATGTTTAGAGACTTATCTCAATGTTCAACAGATTTGTGTTTTGTATCAGGATCAATGATTTTGCGCTATTTTCAGTCAATACAGCAGGTAGATCTTGAGTTATTGTTCAATGTACGATTAATGTAATAATTATTGGAATCGTATTTTTTTGCGCTTAACATACCATATTTTTTTGGCTATTTTATTTTAACTGTCTGATTATGTCTCTCAATATTCATCATATCTATGTTGTATGTTACGATCAATCATTGGTCGAGATTTTAGTTCAATACCACAGGTATTTCTTCAGTTATTTTCTGGAAAACAAGCGGGTTTGACTTTAATATTTTTTCGGTGGATACCACTATTTTTGTAGAGCACCCTCTTTAGAAAGACAATTGAAATAACTAAAAGTGCATTTATAATTAAAATAGCCAGAATGCATATACACCGACTGATATCTTGGGGCCGTAGCATAAGTCCAACGCCTCATAGGTCCGACGCCTCATAAGTCCGAAATTTCAGACTTATATGGCGTAGGACTTATAGGCCTTCATTTGGTAAGTGGATGCGATTTTGTTGGACTGAAGCCCGGTTCATACTCGGCGCGAAAGCAAAAGCGAACGTGAATTCGTGACGTCATGGCAAGTATTCGCGCTGCGAATTTGTAAAAGTTGAACATAATTCAACTCGAGCGAATTTCGCAGCGAATGTTTTATGACGTCAACTTCGCTTCGCATTCGCTTTCGTATGAAGTATGAACCGGGCTTTATGAGGCGTCGGACTTAAGAGCGGACCCCGATAATTTAATCGCCATCCACTCCTATTTCTTGCGCATGCAAGTAACAATATACGTTTTACAATCGTTATTTTTTTATCGTTGTTCACATTTAAAAGTGAATATAATATTTAACATATAATATTTAAGATAACTGTTTCCATTAAAGATATTCCATTACACAATGGATAAAATACAATTCAATATTGTCAACAAGTTTGAAGAACACTGTTTTAATATAATTTTGTGTGTGCATTGGTTTCGTTTTGCTGAAAGAACGCACACCTTTTGTGTGACCCATGGACAGAACTTTAAAACGGTGGTTGTGTTTAAAATTCCGTATATTGAAAAGTGCATGAGTGATGTGAACAATTATTGTACTCTAAGGAAGCCTATGATTGGGGCTTTCATATCCTAGATTTTGAAAGTGCTTTTTTTGACTCACCCTTTACATACAATATAAGAATTTACAACAGACATGCACATGTATTTAGAATCCTGCTGCCTGACTGGTTATCTCGAGAAGGTTATAACGTCATGCAGACATGCACCCATATTTCAGGAACTATACGGTGCTGGTTGAATTCAAGATTCTTTGTTAGTGTTTAACTTTTCTGTCATGGCGAGTCAGCGCCAGAATACCTCACAGAGTTGATATTAGTTCACGAATTTAACACTATAGCAATAAAAGCTGGGATTAGGCTAATAAAAAACATCTAAAAGGCTCGTCCAAAGCCTAGCAGAGAACAATATAGTGATCGTGCTTTTATTTACCATATATGCACCTACTTTGTGGAACAGACTTCAAGGTTGTTATTTTCAACTTATGTTTAATCAATTGGGTTTTTTTTAGGTAGTTTTGAGACTTAAATGTAATTGGGCCTTCGTGTATTAAAAAAGTTATTATCATTACTATGCCATTAAACATTATTTCTTTTAATTCATTGGTTTGTATTATTATGTTTTCTTAAGCATTACTCCTGTATAACAAACGTGTTTTTTTTTTTTTTTTGTTTATTTATTCGGGGTAAAGAAGGAAGCCACTGAATGAGGTGTAGTGCCAGGAACTCCCCCTCAATCTACCGTGCATGGTAAGATACACCGTGTCTCCTCGCTGCAGAACCAGCACCGCGCTCCCAGACAACTGACCTCGTTGATTTTGTTCACCATAGGCACTGATTACCTTGTAGTCGTTTTTAACCAAATGGATGTAAAGGTCACCGCTGTTGCTATACTTAAGAACAGAAAACGTAAATACGTAGGTGCCCGGCACACTACATGTGAACATGCCGGTCTCGAGATCGAAGCTGTTACCCGGCAGAAGCGTCTCGGTCTGCTGGAAGGGCAAACGGGTGTCGGAACTTGTAGATACATCCGAGTCGCTCGTCCTCACCACGGTGAATGCCACCCGCTGGTTTGAATCGCCTGGTGTCTCTCCTGGCTCACCCTTCTGACCTTTGACACCAGTCTCCCCGGTTCCTCCAACAAAACCAGGTAGCCCTCTCGGACCTATCTTGCCGGGTAGACCGATCCCATCATCACCTTTAGACCCAGTGTTCCCAGGTGCTCCCCGCTCACCCATTTGCCCAATAGGGCCAATCTCACCTTGCTGACCTGCATCGCCCTTTGACCCCGGCTGACCGTACGGCCCCATCGGCCCCACTGGTCCAGACAGACCTGGTATGCCGGGTATTGCGGCAGGTCCCTGGCAGCACTGCTGACACACCTGAGACGCAGGACCGTCACCGTCCGAGGGAATCGGCCCAGTTACGGAAGCTCGGAGCTTGACAGAGTTACCCAGAAGGAGGGCGATTGACAGAATGGTGGCCACGCAGATCTTCATCTGTAAAGAAAACAATACAGGGCCTATATGTAAAACTAAAAACAAAATCAATAAGCAATAAGAAATAGGCATAATGATGTTACATACACTGAAGACTTAGTCTTTAATGTGACTTCATAATAATTTTTGAGGAATCATTATTCTGAGAATGTGTTTGGCGTGATGACTTCTCCGGGGGCAAGGGGCTATATGTATTTGTCAAGTTAGGAAAGGAGACCGACTAACATTTAGGGTTTTTTTTATGGGGACGGCGCGCCCTTTCCACTGTCATGACAGAATCAATTAATAAACATCACCACACCAACCTCGATGGTTCGCTCTTCAAGACTTGAAGATCAGGTCCAATAAGAGATCAAAAGGAGTTCACTGTATTCTGAAAAATAATGAACAAAGAAAAAACCGTTGATACGTTTATGCTTGAGTAAAGAAAGACATAATTTATTCATCGATTGTGATATCGATTTATCAATAATCATTCGAAACCAGGAACAATTATTCACTAATAAATACAATGGTCAAAGATTATTTGTATTTTCGTGACCGAATACGCCCAGAAAAAGCAACATGTTTTAATGACGCTTTGTGATATTTTTCTCTGGAACCTGAATGCTCCCTGAAATCAACGTTAAATTGATTCAAACGCTTTCGTTAAAGCCTTTATTCAAATTCATTATACAATTTATTCAAATTAATTATACCCAAAAAACCTGTGTATTTTTGAGGCACTAGTAAGTCATTGAATCATTTTTTGAATGCATAATTATCTGAGTTTTTAAAACAGCATATTCTTCATTTAAATATGTTTTTCCCGTCCAATTTTACACCGTGCTCATTCAATGCGTGAACACTTTCTTTCAAATTCGCATACAAACGCGTTAGCATTCTCAAACCCAGTTGAATTTCGCGAACGATCAAATTATTTAAGGGTATATCCACTATACGCATCAAAAAGTAGGCAATTGACGTATTTGCATTGAATTTATTTTGCTTTGGATTTCAGTCCAGCTCGGGAATGCAACTTCACGCTTACGTTCACAAAAGTCATACATGTTTACTAAAATTCGGCAGTTTAGCCAGATCAGTTGTGGCTGTAGGGGTGCGGAGGGGGCGCCCTCTCCCGGCAGTGACCGAATATTTATCAAAAAAGCCAAATTTCAATTGAGAGTGTCATTCCACCCTCACCCTTTTCCGGCACAAACTTCGCCCGGCAATAAACTCTCTTGATCCGCCATTGAAGATAATGTGTGGCACTGCTAAAAGAAGGTATAAAATGACATGATGTTTTGAAAAGTTTTTTTTTAAATGTCAGGGAAGGAATTAGAAACGTGCATATCTTTAACAATTTATTAATAAGTGTGTATTAAGTGACAGAAAGAAAAAACTTTTTAGCACTCGCCCAAAAATCGGCCTTTCAAGAAAAAAAGACAGATTTTGTTTTTTATATATTGACCAGTTAATTTGAGTAATCACCATGTGGAAATAAAAGATAATGGAGAAAAAATACTGAAAATCAATCCAATTTTTTTTTTTTTGCAATTACGATTGACGGTTAACCCAAAAGGGGCCGGGTTATTTTGACAATCTTTCAGCCGGGAGGTTTTTTTTTTTGCAATTACGACTGACGGTTAACCCTTAAGGGGCCATGTTATTTTGACAATCTTTCAGCCGGGAGGTTTTTTTTTGGCAATTACGATTGACGGTTAACCCTAAAGGGGCCGGGTTATTTTGACAGTCTTTCAGCCGGGAGGGGGGCGGATTCCGCCACCCCCCCTAAGATTACGGCCATCGATCGAGTGACGAATTTTTTTGAAACTCAGCACATGCATAGAACAACTCTTCCTTAACATACCCAAGAAATTTCATGAATGTAGGTCAAAGGGTTTTGGAATTATGGCTATTTAATTATTCATATGTACGATTGCCAATTCTGCTTTGTGTACACGACGTATATGGGTCATTCCATGTCAGACCAACGCACTTTTTTACCTCATGTCTTCTGATTTTGATGAAAATTGCCGTGCTTGTAGGTCCTGATGAGCAATAAATGCACACCAATTTTTAGCCCGATCCGACCTACCATGTGGTCAGGGCAGAAACCACAAAAAATGGACATTTTTAGAGTAAAATACCACCCCTTAGGCAGAAATATGTCAAAACCATGTCAATTTTCATCGAATATATGCAAATTTGGTATCAAAATAACAAGAATTGCATGCTTAAATCATCACTTATGTCAAAATTAAATTTGTGAAAAGGAGGTCACGTGACCTTTAAAAAGTATCTTTTGACCTTTGACCCAATTTATGTACTAATGTATCATTCCGAAAATCAACGAAAATAAAATGACTTGATAGAGCATGTCTTCTTCTATTAGAATCCACTAAAAATCAATTGGGGTCTTCAAAATTTACAACTTATGACTATTTGTGTCAGTTGGTAGGTTACAAATTAGTCAGTTTATAGACTTTACTTGAGAAATCCAACTTACTATTCTGTTTCTAAGGCTACTTAAATTAATCTTGGTTTGGGAATTTCTCATGTTTAGGGCTGATGAGGTCTAACCAGACTTATAATATAAATAATCAGCAGTGGCGCACCCAGGATTTTGCTTTTTTGTGTGTGTGGGGGGGGGGGGCTCATAATTTGTTTGTTTTCAAATTTCTGTAGAAGATTGAAACACAAAAATTACCCCTCTCGGGATGCCACTGATAATTAGTTATCCCACGAGTGCGCTTGAAATATGAAACAATACAATGCTGCTGTGACCCATATGCCACCCGACGCACTACATTATTCCGTGTTCCACGAGCGCAAGTGGGTTAACGAATTTATCTTCAAGCGAACGTGACGTCGAATGCTTGAGAGTTGATTGTCATCAGCAGTTACTGTTTAGGGTACGCAACAGCTCTATGCTTACTACCCGGACCCAGTACAGCTGAAACACATCCAGGTGAAATTTATCTCGAGGGAAAAAAATGCCAAGTCTGTGAGACTCAGTAAATTTCAAGAAGCGCAGTGATGAATGAGGTAACTTGATTGCGATATTGAGTATTATCTTCAAGCAAACTTGAATCCTAGGCCCTGAATAGTCCATCTATAGCAACAGTGTGATTTGATATAATATTGCACAGCTATATTGCACCCTAGATATCGAATGTACATGTACATGTATGTATTGTGTTCTTTTTTATTTGCTGCTGAACGGTCCGATACACTATGCACCTACATCCCTCACCACGTGCAATGTACATGTACACATCCGACGTCAAGTTTGCTTGAAGATAAATGCGTGTTATGGCTCGTTGGAACACGAAATAATGTAGTGCGTCGGGTGGCATATGGGTCACAGCAGCATTGCATTGTTTCATATTCCAATATTCCAAGCGCGCTCGTGGAATAACTAATTATCAGTGGCGGGGGGGGGGGGCTCAAGGGGCTTGAACATACCCCATCCGAGGTTGTGAATTTGTATGTTTGATTGTTTTTTCAATCTCCTACAGAAATTTTACAAAAAAAAAATCTATGAGCCCCCCCCCCCCACAAAAAGCAAAAGCCTGGGTACGCCACTGCTGATAATTTATATTATGAGTCTGGTTATACCTCATCAGTTCTAAACATGAGACATTCCCAAACCAAGATTGATTTAAGTAGCTTAAGAAACAGAATAATATAGTTGTGTGGGTGGATTTGTAAAGTTAAGTCTATAAATTGACTTATTTGTAACCTACCAACTGACAAAAATAGTTATAAAGCTGTACATTTAGAAGACCCCAATTGATTTTTAGCAGATTCTAATAGAGGAAGAAATGCTCTATCAAGTCATTTTCATTTCATTGATTTTCGGAATGATACATTAATACATAAATTGGGTCAAAGGTCACGATAACATATTAAAGGTCACGTGACCTCCTTTTCACAAAATTTAATTTTGACAAAAGAGTTGCTTTGAGCATGCCATTCTTATTATTTTGATACTAAATTCGCATATATTCGATGAAAATTAACATTGTTTTGACATATTTCTACCAAAAGGGTGGTATTTTACTCTAAAAATGACCATTGTTTGTGGTTTCTGCCCTGACCACATGGTAGGTCGGATCGGGCTAAAAATTGGTGTGCATTCATTGCTCATCAGGACCTACCAGCACAGCAATTTTTATCAAAATCGGAAGACATGAGGTAAAAAGTGCGTTGGTGTGACATGGAATGACCCATATGTGAAAATTCAGTTTTCACGGCGCGTAGCTTCGCGGCAACCCGTGGTCAGATTTTTTTTTGGTTTTGGTATCAAAAGATGCGCAAAGCTCGAGGCTAAAAAGTCATAACAGCTCAGGTCGCGAAATTCTTTTTTTTTTGAGGCTATCGCGGAAAATGTTGAGGGGGGGGGGGTGGATTCCGCTCCCGGCCCCTTTAGGGTTAATGCAGTCTTCAATCTTTGGTGTCTGTATCTATTTAGTTTGTAAATTGTATGTAGGCATACACAAAAATGAAACTATTTTTTCCCGGAGAACCCGGTCACGATATGTCGAGTAATCTGCCTTTCTAAAAGAAAGATGCAAAATCTAAATTGACTCGCTTCATATACGAAATTGCATGTCTGAGAACGACAGGAGGGGATCCCTCACTTCTTTAAATATCAAGTTCGCACCTTTGTTTTGAATCGAATGACGTTTTCTGTTGATAATGGTGACCGAAACGTTATCGGTGCATAAACAAACATAATCTTCCGCCAAAATACCAAATTGAGAGAAAATGTACAATATAAGAACTACTCACTTGATGTAATGTTCTTGAATTTTATCACATAAGAAATCATCAACAGGTGAGCAGATTGCTGACGGAAAATAATACCACTTTTATTTGAAAATGAGTTATTGAGTTATTTTCTGCATTGATATGGGAACCGATCTCATAGCAGTGAAGTATAGTGGCGGAAATATTACAGGTGGACCACCGCAGTTAAGTTACAG